TTATCATTTTGAACACTTCTGTGTCCCACTTTACATTTATGACATAATCTCAGTTTGTGCTATCCATATTTCAGGGGCTTTCTAGCCACAATATCAAACACTGCAGATACAGAAATATAGTTAATAGGAATCAGGGCACAAAAGCAGTGCTTCTGTTCTTTGTTTCTGATTTCAATCCATAACAACACTTGAGGTTATAACAGAATTCTTTTTCCTAAGTCACCTCTAATTCATCTTGCAACGAGAATATTTCATCTTGCAATAAGATGTACACATACACAACTTTACTCTATCTGTAGCAAGAACACATGAACACTGGATGGATTTTGTTAATCGCTTAGTATTCTAGCATCTTTTTCTAGTTCAGACATGTGAGAAGATAAGTAAGCAACAGCAACTCCATGGAGAGAAAACCTCCAAGACACAAAAGAGTTTATTATTAATTATAAGGAATATAATAATACAAGATTTACTTAAAAGAAAACATAGAGCAAGGACCCTGAAACATAAGTTATTGTAGCTCATTAATGTCTACATAATTTCCCTATTGCACTTAAAAGAACTTCTTATAAAAGTACCCTACAGCATGACTAACTATGGGATACCATTTTAAGTGTTTATAGCCCCCACCGAAAGTTTCCCATCCAGAATATCTAAGGAGATTAAAACTGAAACACAAAGTTACATGATCACAATTGTTGTGAATTTTCCACAATTTCAGAATGAAAATTGTAGGGCAACCTTTAAGACACCAGAATGTAATTATTTGAACTGGACTTGGGCCAAACACTGTTGTTTTCCTCAAAGGATATATTGAGCATATTCTATAGTTTTTAACAAATATAATGATTGTAAATTAATCTGTGATTCTGAGAGTAAATGTAGGATCTCCAGCATAAGAATTCTTCACACACATGTGTCATTGCATTATTCTGAGCGGGGAAAGAGAGGTACAGAAAATACAACTTTTGGAACTACTCATTCAAAAACTGATTTTACTCAAATTCTGCTTTAACGCTTATGAAACAAATTATGAATCATAAAGTGGTAGAGGGAGAAATCAATGGGAAATCCAACATTATAAAACTCAGCTACTATATCTTTCAGAAAACCAACTCTAAAAAGATTTGTAGGTTGATTTCCCAACGTATGACTTCATCTAAGTCCCATGTCATGTCATGTCATATGTGAAACACAAATAAATAAGTAACTTACAAAATCCTTCTGGTTTAAATTGTACCCATGCAATGAAACAAATGAACTTGAAAAAAGTTTTAAATTTTTTTCTTGACCAATTTCATATAAGAAATTCTAATCTTTCAATAATCCCATGGATTGAGAAGCAGTAAAGAATGAGGGTTGGGTGGGGTGGAGGATGTACGCAGCACTGTCTGCATTTTTTGATACTTAATAATGTAGTGGTATACTTTCCATTCTTTAGTTTTTATTTAAAAATGATAAATATATTTAAGTGCTATATAATTAAGTGCACAAGTCGATTTTAACTTTACATCATTTTACTTTCTGATATTATGTGAAAATAATTAGTAATAGGCAGAGAAGGAGATAAAGAAAAATAAATATCAGAAAAGAAAAAGAAAAGCATCTATACTTCATGAGTTGTAACTTATATACCAAGTGAAATTTGTTCCTTGTCATTAAAAGGGAGGGTGCTGAAAATAGAACTATGAGGGTCTTAGTGCCAAAAAAATGCTTCAGTAAATTCTGTTCGTTTTATTGACAAAAAATAAAGAGATTCATCATATAACTATAAAATTAAATGTAGTTATTTGTAAATAAAAAATAAAAAGAAAATAGGGTATTCACTACAGTCTTTGCAAATAAGCCCTTATCATATCATCACACCCAATAATGGTCTCTGCAGTGGTTTTAAACAAAACTGTTTAAAAAGTTCTCCAATAATTGAAAAAGGTGGTAAAATGCTGAATATGGCCAGCAAATGTGAATGTGCATCCATATTGCTAAGAAAGGTAGTGGTCATCATCACCAACATGTCAGCAGCAATCTGTCACACACCTTGTTTTCATCCTGATGCATAATGGAATTTTGACAGGATTTATTATTATACGCAGGTGATCCCTCTCTTTAGTAGACTACCATCCTATCTGAACCAAGTAAATAACCTTTTGAGAGTTTCTAAGATATGAACCGATTCTCAGGTGGTTTTCTGTCAGGTTGTTACATGTAATAGTTATTAACAAAAGCTTGAGAATTCAAGTTTTCACATGCTTCCAATAAACTCCATTTCTTTGAGGCAGAATAGGAGAAGCAAAATGAACAGCAAAACAATACCTACACATATTATCTAACCTTTGAACCTGAATTTATATTATAAATGTTTCTGGCAGTGATCACCTAAGATGTTTAAGGAAATGTAATTGAAGTAGTAAGTCATCAAAGTAGTTTTATGCTGCTTATTGTGTGTGTTTTCCCTGGGAAGAGATCAACAGAGGTAAAATATTCACTCCTGAAAACTGTAAATAAGAAAAAGTTAGTTAACCAGAAAAATGTGAATGTATGCTTTGTTGAAGATAAATTTTAAAAAGTAAATATTTTAGTTGAGCTTGAATATTAAACATATTAAAAGTTGCTGTTTGTTAACAAAAACATAGGAACCGGCAGAGGTAAAATCATCCATCTCTCCTTGTTGTGAATTTTTAAAACCAGTTGTTTATCCTAACTAAAGTTTGATTTGCTTATCTAAAAGATAATTTCCTGATCACTAAAAGAAATAATCTGTTAAATCATTATTCATCCCAGTGTGTAGCAAGATGAATATTACTACACTAATTAACACATGCATTAATGATGGGATTCAGGACACATTGACAGTAGCAGGCAGATCTGTCACTCCTTCCGTTGTCCACCTTCCCTGCAGTGGTTTGGTATCATTGGCCTCTGGATACCAGAAAGAAAGGCACATCCTCACCCATGAACGCACAGAGACACATCTTTGTCTCTAGATACAGAGAAGAATCTGAGAAACAGGTCTTGCCAAGTCCCCCTCACCTCCTCAGTGCAATCATAATTCTCCATAACCATCAACTTCTTTTTTTGGTCTGTGATTTTTGTTTTCATCATAAGTCCTATGGCCATAAAATTTATGTTGTTTTCTTCTCCACATTAATCCTTCTATCTAATGAGCTGGCAAAAACTGCACATACACAACAGTTCCACAGCTTTGTATTTCTGCATACCTGTTTTAAAACAATCCTGAATTATAATTTAGTATGACTCAGGAAAGAATTCAAAAGTAAAGTCTAACTTGCTATTATGTCATGCAGATTTTTTTAAAGTATCTGAACTTACAAAGCAACTATAAGATATGAGTATATTAAATTTTTTTGATATTATGGTAAATAATTCTAAAATGCTTTTCAGTAAGTAAAGGATACCATTTTAGATACAGTAAATTATAAAATTGGCATAGTCAAGACAAAAATATAAAGTAGACATTGCTTTCATATCTTCAACTATTGTCTTTAATGGGCTGATTAACAGAATTGAAGCATGAGTCTTGCTCCGTTCCGACAGTGAAAAGATTTTCCCAGTATCTAAATATAGTCACACAACCAGTTATATAAATCTAAATAAAAAAACCCATCTCCAAAAGATTTTGAGATGACATTCCCCATTTTTGTGAAAAGTTAAGCTTTACTAATTAAGTCCAATCTTATCTTTCAAAATTGTTTATTCATTTATTCATATGTGTAGACATTGGGGGCATTTCTCTCTCCTGCTCCCTCCCCCCCTCCCCATGCGGCCTGCCCCCCACTTCCAGGCAGATCCTGTTCTGCCCTCTTCTCCAATTTTTTGAAGAGAAAACATAAGAGATAATAAGAAAGACATAGCATTTTTGCTAGCTTGAGATAAAGATTGCTGTACAGAGAGTTTCCTAGCATTGCTTCCATGTACATGTGTATTACAACCCACATTGGTTCATCTCTACCAGACCTCTTCACTACTTCTCAGTTACCTTCCCAGTGTCACCACTGTCAGTTTAAGATTACTTTATTAGCTCTTCTACAGTAGGCACATCAAACACTTGAGTTTTAGGTTTCCTTCCCTTTCTCTAGTCCTCCTGTATGTGTTCTCCCTTTAGTGTGTGACCCATGTCCAATAATAGTATTACAATTATTTTAGGTCTATAATACACATATGAGGGAGAACATATGATTTCTGGCGTTCTGAGCCCGTATAACTTCACTTAAGATGATGTTGTCCAGTTCCATCCATTTACTTGTGAATGACAAAATTTCATTCTTCTTCATGGCTGAGTAAAAGTCCATTGTGTATAAATACCACATTTTCTTAATCCATTTATCAGTAGTGGGGCATCTTGGCTGTTTCCACAACTTGGGCTATTGTAAATAGTGCTGCAATTAAGGGTGTGCAGGTGCCTTTGGAATAACCTGAGTCAAATTCCTTTGGGTATATCCCTAAGAGTGGTATTACTGGATCATACGGCAGATCTATGTTTAGTTTTTTAAGAAGCCTCCATATTGTTTTCCAAAGTGGTTGTACTAGGTTACATTCCTACCAGCAGTGTATGAGGGTTCTTTTTCCCTGCATCCTAGCCAACATTTATTGTTGGTGGTGTTTTTGATGATAGCTATTCTATCTTAAAAAGGGAAAACAGCTGGGTGTCAGTGGCTCACACCTATAATCTTAGCTACCTGGGAGGCAGAGGTCAGGAGGATCATGATTCGAAGCCAGCACTGGTAAACAGCTCTTGAGACTTTATCTCAAAAACCATACAAAAAATTGGGTTGGTGGGGTGGCTTGTGGTGAAGGCTCTGAGTTCAAGCAAACAAAAAAAAAAAAGAGGTGGGGATGGGGAAAACAGTGATAATATTTACTGAAATGAAATTACTTTTTATAAAGACTATATTTACTTAACTACAAACCAATTTTACTTGAATTAGGACTGTAACAAAAATACTGTCAGCTATTCATAATCTGAATTCTGGTATATGAGATCAAATATGATATTTACTAAAAAGCAATGAGATCTTTTTTAATAAATGAAGCAGTGGGTATTTCTCATTAGTAGTTTTTCTGAGGTAATCTATCAAGTCCTTTCTTCCTCCCTTCTCCTTAGCACCAATGAAGATGACTCTTGTTTCAGGCATGTACTTCTGTGGATTCTCCAGATATCCCATTAGTGTCTCTTCTCCCCAAGTGATGCCTTTGTTCTTGTCATCTGTGTAAGACAACCCAATGGCCCGACCTGTCTTCTGCCCAAACAGACTATGGAGATTTGTCTCAGTATTGTGTTCCTCTTCTTTTCCCAATATGTGACACTGGGCAAACTTATGAACAAAAATCTTGTTTTTATCAGCATCACCTGTTTTTAATTCACTCTTTCTTTGCTAACAGGTTGAAGGTTCAGAAACTGGGCATCCTGCTAAAAACCTACTTCTGCCTCAAGCAAAGCATGAAAAATACACAGGTTCACCTGTTCAAAGACTCCCATATCATATAAAATTTATATTCATAAAATTTTTACACTTTTCTTTTGTTAGTATGTCTTTTAATATTAAGGAGTCAGTCACAAGCACAGAGATAAGACAGAAAAGAAAAAATGTTTCCCCCCTACAGTGGGCATTATTTTTTAAACACTACCCATATATTACCTCATTTAAACAGTGACTCCAAACTTCCAAATATGTATTACCCACTACAGTAGTCACTAGTACTGTGTGGATATTTAAGTTTAAGTTATCAAAAGTAAAAGCTAGGTTCTCAGTTGCACCAACCATGCTTCAAGTACTTGAGAGTCTATGTGATTGGTGTTAGACAACAGTGAATGGAAAACATTCCAACCTCACAGGACAGTCTATTGACAACAATGCTGTAAGGATTATATTATTACATATTACATTTAATATAGAGGAAAGAGTTACAGAAAAGGTTGCAGGTATTATGGAATCAAGAAGCTCGGATTATATTGCATAATTTTGCCTACAACATCATGACACATTTTCGGTAAATGTTTTGGAGTATGAGTATAATTGTTAATCAACTATGAATATGTACAAAGCTCATATGATGATCAGGCTACATTATGTTTTTGAGAGAACAGTTATGCAAAATTACACCAGAAAAATGAAGCTGGGAAGGGTTCTACAGGTGGCTTTTGTACAGGAGCCAGTAATGGTACATTTTTATTATTTGGGAGTTGCATTGTTTTCATTGTAAGTATAAAATAGAATGTAAATATCTGAATTATATGTTTTTCTATATTTTATGTATTAGAGTAAATATTAAAGTCTATTTAATGTATTATACTAAAGAATTATTTAAATTTTATTAACTTTTTAAATTGTTAACTTTGAATTAAATGCAAGCTGTATTTTGTTAAATACAAGTTCAGCAAGAAAAGACATTTAAAAGTGCCTTGTGACAATCTGGCTTCATTTCATTTTGTTTGGGGGGATAGTTTGTTTGCTTGTTTGTTTTTTCTATACCTAAATTTTAGGTGCTCTTCACCATAGAAAATATGAAAAAAATGTCATTATATGACACTTACTACATGTACTTCATACTAGATTGTCTTGATCAGGAAATTAACTGATAATAACTCAACTGGAAAATGTATGAGATTCACTTGGTATGATCCAGAAAAAAACATAACCCCAAAAGATGAATGATGCTTTTTAATAAGAATTACAATATTTATATTTGATATAATCCATGTATCTGATATATTAAAGTCAATAAGAAAAAGAGTAATCATTTTTCTATAAGAATACTTGACAAACCTTAGAAATTTTACTTGAAGTTTTGGAGTGAAAAATAAGATTACCAGATTTGAGGAGACTATCTCCAGATTCATTTTCCTCAGAATATCAGATGCAGAAATAGTAAAACTATTCAGGGTTTTCTCCTAATAATAAACACTTGCTGCTCCATTTGGGAAGAGAATATAGTAATTTACTATATTTGATAATGAAGGAATCCTATCCCTAAAAAGTTGTTTCATTTTTATGTCCTTGAGAACAAATAACTTGCTATTCTCATGTATATGAAAATCGTGAATTTTATAAATAAAATATTTTATTACTTTAAATTTTAAAATAAATTATTTTTCCAAGTCTGTGCATATATAAATTTGCAAGAAAAATTTGTAGACAGATCAAAATTAATTAAATTAAATAAGACATACTGAGAACACAAATTATAAGCAAAAAATGTAAAAGTTCTTGTTAAGTTCAATTTGATTTCTTTCCTAAAAATCAGGTGCATAAATTGAAAATACACATAAGTTTAAACTATAAAAATAAAGCCTACATAAAAACACCATAAGAAATTACTTTCTAATTGAATGTATAGTTGAACACAATTTTATATTGTACAAAATATTAGAATATTGCAAGAGTACACAAGTGGGAGTTAGTAGAAATACAAGAAAAAAACCAAACAACTGTTCATGGATACAGCTCTACCACCCTGAGAAGACATTCACAGACTTGAGAGCACACTGAGAAATCTCCATTCATAGAGATTTGCAACACTGAGGGAAACAGAAGAGGACTAAATTTTCTGATATTATCTTTATGCTCACTTGGCATCATTACCATAACCAAGGAAAGGGAAAGAGTACAAAGAATTAATTCCACAAACAGACTTGTGAAATTTTATGCGGGTTCCAATACTTTCTTACTGAGAAGGCAAAGAACTCTCAGAGAAGACAAATGGCGATTCAACACAGACAACCTTCATCAATGGAATTCTTTGCAGAAAGAAAAAAATGGAAAAAATTACTGTTACAAAACTTGTATTTTACCAAAACCAAAGTGGCTATTTGCTTTGGCATTGTAGAGAACTAGAAATGTTACACTGTTTTAATATTCCTAGGCAAAAAATAGAACATTTCAGATGAAATATCTTTCTTTAAATGCAAGAAGTCAATTGCTACTATATTCCATGATATTAAAACATAACTGAGTGTTCCACAGAATCCAATAGACAGGATTCTTTTCAACTGTACCTCAGGGCTATACCATTTTTTCTTACTTCTTGAAGTGTTTGACAGCCTACAACCCTCTCTCTTTGTACTGCACTAAAAGGTAAACTGATCTGTCAGTGACACTGGTACTACAATCCATCTCTCAAGAGCAGAAAACTGTTGAATTTCTCACCAGACTGTCAAGAGTTCCTGTGCTTTCACTGTCAGAGTTTTCTGCATTTTTATAACTAGTTATAAAAGCACCTTTAAGCCTTTTCAGCAATTAGTTTCCTGGGACTGGTTAGTAGTGTTCTGTCAGACAGCAGGTTTATGATAATGAAAGAAAAATGGTTGTTGAAATATGGCCCACCAAGAAAATGGCAGTTTACATATTTCCTTTCAAAAGTGTTAAAATATATGATTTTGAAAATAGCAATGGTTTGAAGATATCCAGGAGTCATTTTGTGTCATGAGTCCATAATGGAATCTGAGTATTTTGTAAACATCGCAAGAAACACACTGAATATTTTCATAATGGATTTCATAGTGAATTTATGGAGTCTTGTTTTCTAAGTAAACAAGAAAAGGCCAAGAAAAAATTTCAGTTCCAGAATATTTACAGAAATTTATGGGAGATTTCTAACTCCTGTATCTTTATATGACATTTCATTTTACTTTATTTTTTATTTTTGCTGGAGTAACATGAACATTCATTCGATCCTTTCCCCAAAGCCAATTCCACCTTGATATTTTTGTAGTTTTTTTCATATATTTCTTGATTAAAAATGGTAAATGTAGACTAAAACTAAATATAATGGACCATCAAGAATTCCCAAAGCAGGCAAATAAAAATAATATTCACAGTATTGAAACATGAATATTTTACAAATGGCTTCAAATGGTGAAGGCATTTCAGGAGTATAATACCTTTGCCATGTGAAAACTGACTGAGTTTTAACAATATTCTTCTTTCACCATCTGCCATTGGCAATTCCTATTTATGAGACAAGATTTGAAAGCAGGAATGTCTTTACGCAAGTGCTGTGCAAGTCAATATCATTATTTTGAGTCAAACTTCCTATGCCTGTTAAAACACTTATGTGTTTTAACAAACACAACAAATCATTGAATTAGAGTGTAATATGTCTGACTATTATGAAAATGAAAGTATGAAATAAAAATAATTAGTATCTCGTTTGCCAAATTCAGGCTGTGACACTTGACATGCAGCTTTCTGTGGCAGAGGATCTGTATAGTGAGAAGGAGCAATGGAAAAATGTGGAATCTAAAGATGAACCACAGAATAATTTGACTTCATTTGAACAGTTCAGTGAAGAAAACAAAGACAGGGAGCACTCATTCCAATGACAAGTGATTGAGAAGATTAGACTTAATTTGTCAAAAATAATACTTTTAATATTGGAGGTATGGGAAGTTCAAAGAACTTCTCATTTTTGTTCTTGAACACAGGTACAAATAATCTCAAATAGTAGTGTGTTTTATTTTTATTTTAGATTTGGTGGTACTGGGGTTCAAACTCAGGGCCTTACACTTGCTAGCAGGTGCTCTACTAGTTAGGCTGTATCCCTAGCCCTTTTTTATTTTATTTATTTCTGTTAGTGTCTCATTTTTTCCCGGGTCTGGCCTTGAACTACAGTACTCCTGCATCTGCCTTCTGCAAGCTGGGATCACCATGACCAATTTCTTTGTTGAGATAAAGTGTCCCTAACTTTTTGCCTGGGCTGGCATTGACTGTAATCCTCCCAATTTCTACCTCCTACCAAGTAGCTGGGTTTGCATGCATGGTGCTACCATGCCCGGCCTAAATAGTAGTATAGTTAATAGTCACGGAAAGTATTAACACTGCCAAAATTCAATTCGAAAGACACGTAATTTCTCCTGTTCATGTCCAGGGTCACGACTTGTAAAACCTTCTCTTCAGAATTATAAATATAAATAAGGGATATTATCTAATTTATTTATCCCACATAAAATGCCACAATAAATCAACCTGAATTTTACAAGCCTTAAACCAGTTTTTAAATGCCAGATATCTTTAAGTAGCTCAAAGAGAATCCTTTAAAAATACATGAGGTGCTGGTAATATACAAAGGCAATCCATTAATCATTCATGACTCGACAGATATTTGCTATGTGGCCATGACATGCTGCATGACCTACCACATACATTTCCAAGCAGAGACAGTGATAAGAGCTAACATTTATTGAGCATTTTCAATGGCAAAGACATTGATCTAAGTACTTTATTTGCATTAAGTCACAAAAGTCTCCCAATTCTCTAGGCATTCCATTTTACTTGGAAGACTGAAGCACACAATGAGAACATTATCTTTCCCACATTACACAAGCAGAGTGGCAGAGCATCCTTGAACACAGGCAATTTAGCTTTGCCCCAGATATAAACCACTGATCTCTCTCAATTTTATGTTTACCATTTTAAAAATAACTCGATAAAGAAAATGATCAATCATGTGAAAACTGAGAATACCTCAGAAGGAACATCATGTTTCACAGAGTGGAGTTATTGAGAGCCCTAAGGTAGAAAAGATAATTATTCAAACACTTCAAAATTCAAGATTTGTGCTTTGGTATTTATTTACTTAGAAAATCAAAAGGCAATAAAAGGGGTCTGATTTTTAGCTGAGAAATCAAGTCAACTCCAAGGCCTCATTATTTCAAAAGAAAGGCAAATGTGGTGAGAGGAAAAAGACATAAAATGGGGACAAAATTGCAAGCACAAAAGGACAAAAAAAAGCAGATGTTATCAGAGAGAGTAATTTCTAAGTAATT